GCATGCTTACTTTTACTTAACTTTAATTTTGCATGCTTACCTTTACTTAACTTTAACTTTGCATGCTTACTTTTACTTAACTTTAACTTTGCATGCTTGCTTTCACTCAAACTTTAACTTTGCATGCTCAGTTTCACTCAACTCTAATTTTGCATGTTCACTTTCACTCAACTCTAATTTTGCATGTTCACTTTCATTCAACTTTAATTTTGCATGTTCATTTTTACCCAACTTTAATTTTGCATGTTTATTTTCACTTAACTCTATTTGCATGTTCACTTTCACCCAACCTTAACTTTGCATGTTCACTTAAAGATTAAAAACTTGCAAACTTGTTTTTGGTAGAAATTTCAGTTTTTCATTTCTTTTTTATCCAATTTTTTTGAAGCGACAAAAAGAAGCGTGATAGGAAAACGTGAAAATTGTACTAACTATTATAAAATAAATAAAATTCATCGAAATGGGAAAAGTGGTTTCAATTGATGCTTGAGTGTGTGATTTTTCTTTTAGCATTCAAAATTTGTCGTTTTAGAATAAAGAAACAAATAAGTTGGTTGTTAGAGTGAGAGCGTCTGATTTCTTCAATTTCATTTTAAATATGCTTCAAAATCTTAATTGAATTTTAAAGTTATTCTGCGGTCAAATTTAAACGTCTTCTATTTTTGTTAATATCATATTGTATAATACAGCAATTTTTTTCTTTTTCTTTTTTTAATGATAAAAAATCAACTTAAAAAATTTTTCAATATTTCTAAATCTCAAAAATTTTTTTTCGTTTCCATTTTTAAAAAATTTGAAAAAATATTTTCACATTTAATTGTTAAGCAATCACCTTCCATAGTTGTAGAAGAAAATTAACTTTTCAGTGTGATAAGAAAGAAAGGAATGTTTGCACAAATTGGCTGAAATATTTTGAAAAGACATTTTGACTTTGCATCTTTTCAATTCTTACATGACTTGTGCGTTTTACACCCACACATATTTATCATTGCTAAATGCCGGCAAAAATCAAATCACCAATTGATTAATTTTGCTGTCATCGTTATCATTTATGGTCATTATCGTTGTCACCGTTATCACTATCATCTCGTGTTGACAATAGATGTTAAACTTAACTTATTGTCTATTGCTAATGTTTGAAATTTCATGATATTCGTTTTAATTATTCAAATGAAAAATGGACATTTTCATATTATTTGGATTTGACCTTTGCATTTTTGTGGGATGGAAACCAGACGCAAATAAATCGATAAGTTTAAGCAGATTATGTTTTATCAGAAAGTATTTCGTAATGGGCCATTGCTACAAATGATTTTCAATTTTTTCATAAATTGAATATTCAAAACTGTATAATTATATGCGTCCTTTATATTATATAATGAATATATATATATTATAATTCCAATTGGTCTTTTTTCTATTTTAATGCAATATTACGCTATCCTAAAATATTATCGAAATGCTATTTAAAGATTTTTGTTACTTATTTTAAATTTTCCAACATCTGCATAGTTTCAGATTTGCATAGTTTCGGCATTTATAAATTACAATAAAATTAAATTATGAAAGTGGAATCAGAAAATAGAACCGATCAAACGAACCGTTCAAATATCATACATAAAAATATGCGTCAAGTAAGTAATATCTGTGATAGCATTCTTTAATTTCATTTTATTAAGTTTTCATGTATTCAAAATTCTACAATATTTTCAGATTATACTTAATGGTGCAATAATGCTTGTAGTAGCATTTTCTTGGGCATTAAGCACACAATTTACTAAATCAATATGGATAATTAATTCACAACACTTCTATGCTCCATACTTTATGGTTTGGTTTAATACTAATTTTATGATGGCATGCTATCCTATTTATATAATATTTGCTTTATTATTTCATCGTTCATCTCTAAATGATATACAACAGTAAGTTCAATTTCATTTTCTTTCTTTTTTTCCAGCATTGCTAGTTTAAAAATTTTATGTCAAATATTAATATTGCTATGTAATTACTTGAAATTTTTGTGAAAAATAAAGAACGAAAGTTTTTTCTATTAGATCCACAGTTCAGAAAATACTTTACGTGTACTTACGTGGATATTAGATTTATAGAGAGGCGTTATTTGTATACGGAAGAAGGAATAGTAGGGTACGATCATATTTTATGCGAACAATCTTATTCCTGATATTTTGGCTTATCGCAAACTATTCATATTCGCAATCATTAGGTCATATCTCGGCAAGTGCGACATCATCGATAATGAGTTCAAATACCGCCGCGGTGGTTATCTTTGGATGGTTCATTCTCAATGATCAATTAATTCCATTTCGAGTATTGTGCATTAGTCATTATTGTCAAAGATTTCAGTGAATTTGCACTTTTTTAGAAATATATTTACTAATTATAATTAGACAGGTAAAGTTTTCATTATCTGCCAAAATTAATATCATTCTAAATTATCAGACAAAAATGATTAGATATTCTATAGCACGAATGGATCTAATTCTTAATTAATATCTTACTAATGCAAGTTTCCATTGTTTTAACATTTAATTTGAAATCAATATCGCAATTGAAGTTGTAAAATATTAATTGATAAAATATTTTGATTTTTAGCTAATTTCGGTAGCAGCGGCAATAATCGGTGTTATTTTAATTTCATTAGATGAAAAATTTGTTGGCAGCATCTTTGGTATATGCTTGTCAATACTTTCTGCTTTATCTGCTGCATTATACAAGGTTAATCATTCCTTTATTGCATAAACTAAATTTTGAGATAGCGTCAATAATATATTCTAATTTTCATTCATTAATCGGTTTTGAATTTTTTTCTGCTTACAACACCTGTTTTTTGTTCTTTTAATAAAATTCATGTCTAATTTAATCAGAATTAATCACTTAATCAAACTGAATTATTCATCGTAACTCTCAATGAAGCTTAAAATTTTTTCACTCCTTTTTGATTCTTTCGATTAGTTCTTTTTCTAAAATCGTGAGAGATATGCTCTTATTACGAATATCTGTGCTTTACTTTTTCATTTCCTAATTATAATCCTTTACTTGTTTTAAATGATGAGAATTAAAAAGGAAGAAGCCATTAAATTACGTTTGCATGAAAAGTTTATGCTGCTGTCTGAGAAGTTATTTTAATATTTGTAGTTCAAACAAAATAATGATTAAAATATGTTAAAAAATTTGTTTACTTTCGCCGCGCTTTTTTCATCCATTTTATTTTTTTCGGTATTAATCATTACATTTTTTTTCTTATTTTAGGTTCTTTTCAAAAAAGTGATCGGTGATGCGACAATTGGGCAAGTATCACTTTTTATGAGTGGTTTGGGCTTACTTAATGCTTCCCTTAATTCATTGCCTACAGTGATATTCCTGACAAATGCGATAGAAACGTTTACCTGGTCATCTGTACCGTGGTTTCCGCTATTCGGTGTTGCATTTTTATCATTGTGTAAGGTTTTTTATAATAGTTTCTACTTACTAACAAATAATTGAAAATTTTATTAATTTTCTATCTTTAAATTTATGAAGACATTATGATTTCAATGTTAAATCTTCAAGTAATCGCTAAAAGAAATCTTTCAAATTTGGCACTGTAAGTCAGGAAGCGCTTGGCAACTATTAATAAATTGACAAAACTTAATAATTCAAATTGAATTCCAATTTTTGGTGCTCTATCAGGATGAAATTGTTGATTTAATAAATTAAGTTAAATTTATTTATGTTTTCCCGTTCTTTTTTTTTCAGGGTTTAATTTTCTCATAAATTTTGGAATTGCTTTGCTGCATCCATTTGTGATATCTATTGGGATGTTATTTGGTATTCCCATCAGTGTAGGTAAAAGATATTTCTCAAAAATCAAATAGTGTGTAATGGTAGTTAATGATAAACGAAAATTTTTATCAGCTAAATTCAACTTAGTCAAAATATCTTCTGCTATATTAGATATTGAAGTAAAAGATAATGCTTCAGCTTAGTTCGTCCCTACAAGTGAGGAAAGATAACTCGAATTTAAATTTCATCAAACGACCTGAAGTGATGCAATTCATTCCTGTAATATGCTATCTTCACGTTTTCTCATCTTCCTAAACTTTTAAATTTTCAGCTATTGACATTATCTTCCGACATATGAATGCAACGCCTTACTTTGTTATTGGCGCTCTTCTAATATTATTTTCATGCATAATCGCAGCAATACCAACAGAATCATTCCGTTGCACGATGAAAATGAAAAAGGTGGAGAACGAGAATGGACACGGCGAGCAATGTATTGCCGTGTAATTTGCATTTTTTGTTTTCTTAGGCTTCATACAAAGCATTTCAATATTGGCATTGATTCTTACCGGATATAAAAGGCAAGATTTACCTTCTTTTTAATTACTGCGATGGAAATGACACGAAATGAAATTACATTTTTTTTAGTGATTCAGAATAAACCATATAACGTATTATATATCTTCTATACTTTTCTCAAAATTGGGAAACATTCCTTCTAAGGCTCCACAACTGAAAGGAAGTCGTAGTTTCGAAAGAAGTTCTTCAATTTTCTTGTCTTTATTTTCAGTTTCCACCACATAAATTTTAAGCATGAATGGCAAAGTAATGTCAATAAATGCAAGCGTCATAATTTTACCTTCGTCCATGAAACTATATATGTATGGATAAAAAAGAAGCATAATCACAAACAAACTATGTTCATAACAATAAACAACCAGTGTGTATGCTGAAATATCACAGGAAAAAAGCAAACAATGTATTTATATTCACAAAACTTAAATTAGTGGACGAGATTGAATAAACCCGAAGTAAACGAAATGCTGGAAGAAATATATATTATCAAAAAGTATGCAGAATCACAAAGTAAGATCTATAAAATCCGCGAATTCATCTAACATTATGGAAGCTGAAAGGGAAGTAAAATGGTAACTGTTAAGTTTTTATTCCCAACATATTCCAGAAAAAACAACAGCTATGATTTTATTGAAAAAAGATCTTAATAATGAAGGGATCAATGTTTCAAATAAAAACGAAAAATCAAAAAATTAATAGTGCAATCTACTGAATGTATGTGCTCTAGAAGTGTCTGCCATATAAAAGTATAATTATTTCATCCTAGCAGATCACCAAAGATATTATTTGTTAGATTATTTTGCTTAGAATGAGTGCTTTGTGAGTTCAGTGATAAATTATTTTTGGCATTAAGTTTAGTCGGAAAACATACAATATCATCCAAAGCAGACATGTCTAACTTTCGGTTCATTTCATTCAGTGATATATTTCCTGTTCGATTCGCTGTCATTCGTTGGCCTGAACTGTTTCTAGCCACTGGATTTTGTACAACTGGTGGACCAGGTAAACTAACTATGTTAACCGTCGGTTGAAACATAAATGATGTCAATGAGTTGTCTGATTCTGTCCTGAATGGATCTGGCCAGAGAGGGCTGTCCGCATTGTTCGGTGCATCATCATTTTTGATCTGAATTGTCAGAAAGTTTGCATAGGGCATAGGAAAATATAGTGGAAAGAATTATATTGTTTAAATATACATAAAATCGAACATGATCTTCATGCATACTATTTTGGGTAATTAAAAGAAATCATACATGCACAAATGAACAAACCTTTTTAGGAAAAGATGATTCAGGAAGAAAATCGGAGAGATCTATGCAGGGCTGATGTGCTGAAATGGAAGTAGAAGGGACCAACGAATTGCAGCCAACTTCCTCAAGAGCAGAATCAATAGGTGAGGTAACAAAATCTGAATTTGTAGACCGGCTCTTACTTATGTTTTCCCTACAACTGACAGGTTGCAAAAGGTTCGGTTGGTTGCGCATTCGTAGGGTTTGCTCTTGTTCGGCCGCCAATCGTTTCTTATCGGCAAGACTTAATAGTCCCTAAAATTCAAATGTAAATAAATAGAGAATTTTATCGGCATATTGTCAAAAACGTAAACTCGATTTAGATATGAATCAATTAAATTGAATAGTAAACAATGATTTGTCTTCAAAACAATTCTCCGACTTCTGAATTTAATGAACAAATAAACAATTGCATTACTTACAGTATTTTTACTAATACCATTTGATTTCCCATCCGTTGATCCATCGATAACTAAATCTGATAGACTGTCGGATAATGAAACCTATAAAATTTCTGCCATTAGATATGGAAATCCTTGTAGTTTCAAACAATTACCAGTTTATTACCTTATTTTGAGTAGCTGATTCTCCAAACACATGAGCAAACTCGCCAATACTGCGTTGGTCCTCTTGACTAGCGCTTAGTTGTTGTAGACGTTGTCGTTGTTCCTTCTCGATCTGTATTATAGTTGAAAGTAACAAGAAGGAGAACCAGTAACACAAGTAAATCAAATTTAAAAAATTTTTTAAGGAAGGAGCAAATTAATATGCAGCAATTTACCCTGTCTAGGATGCGATGTATTAATGCCATGTACTGCTCAAACTGAGGCATATTCAATGTATTCTCCATGGAAGAAGTAATCAGAAAAGGTAAAATGCTTTTGGCACATTGTTCCCGAGTTATACCAATACGACTCTCTTCATATGCTAATTTATAGATTCCTGAAAATGCAGTCCAATTCAGTGTTAGCCTAAATTTTATCTACAGAATGAATCTTTCCCTACAAACTTTTACCGTTGGCATAAATCCATTTCACTACTTTTAAACTGTTTTATGTAATTCGATTTATTTTAAAAAGATGTCATAATTTTTCAGCTCGGGTTAGTATCTGATTTAAAATAAGTCCTCTATAAAATGGCAATATACGGAAAGTTGAAGGAAAAATATACCCAAAATAGCCATAAGAATTGCTGGCTCTCGACTAATCACTTTAGGCAGAGCTGGAATTATTTGATCTGTCACCATCCATGGCTCCAGAGTGGGTAACAATTTCCCTATGCATAGCAATGCTTGAACTCGTATCTATGAAAGTAAAACATATTCGCTAAAAGAAAAGCACAACACATTTTAGCATGCTAAAATTACAAATAAGTAAAAAAATGAACAAGTCAATTACACAAAAAATATCAGCAAAACAAGTAAATCTCACAGTTAACACTCCTCCTCCATCAATAATTAGCAATAGTAGCTTGGGTAGAACTTCCGTTTTCATAGACTGTTTTTCAATCATTGTGGCAACTTTCGGAACGATTGAAAGACACAATTCCTATAAGAATTACTTATTTTTTCATAAAAATAATACAATGCTTATAGGTTATGCTTTTTGGAAATACGGAAGAAATGAGTTCCACTCGAGAATATTAATAAACGTACTTGGATTTTCACGGTCTCACTAGATAAAGCGTTACAAATTAAAGGCAACAGATATTTACGAGCATCTTCTTCACTTGTTTTTTGCAGTAATAGATCCATATTTTGCAAAAACAATAACGAAATCTGCAACATAAAGGTAAGTGAATGCATAAATTTTTTCCTCAACACCGAAATAACATAAAAATTTCGCTCAAAATAACAACAATCTATAAAATTACTAAACTCACTTGGTACGGCCGTTCAATAGTAAATATTGGGACTAACTGCGGCAAAACAGCTGCCCGAAATTCATCATTACTAGTTATTCCAGCAATATGAAAAATACTAGGAAGAATGAACGGTATTAATTCTGTAGCAATAAATTCTGCACATAGTTGAGGAAGGATTTTTTGTATAAGTGGTCGCTGAAAAATTCGTAGATCATAATGAATGAATATATAAATTTCTAAAAACTATAAAAAATATTTATCTTCAAAAATTCTTCTAATATATATGTCAATAATTACTTTCGGAAATTTCACCAAGAACTGCGGTAATTGCTTGAAAAAATTCATTTTCTGCGTGTAGTCCATTTGGCACAAAGAATCCAAACTATTCAGTGTTCGAATTAACGGCTCATCAAAGTAGATAATCTATAAAATAGAACTATACTTCAATAACTGCTGTAATAGACCTCTTGCAAATAAAATTACATTTCATTTTTAGATGTGTTTGATGGCACAGCTGATATAACAATTAATTGTAGAGAAGAACAAAAACAGAATTACCTTGGAAAATTGAGTTGCATCGGGTCGAAGATCAGGCGTCAGATTCAAGCACATTTTCAGGTCATCACGAAGTTCAGCAGGAACATTTACAAACATTGACACAGGTAACGTGTTTAACTGAAAACGATAATTTGCTCACAATAATATATCTATGGAAATAATGAGAACATACCAATTTTAAATAATAACCTTTTCTGTATTTTTGCGAAAATTATCTAACGAATTTCTGTTATCAAACGGTTGCTTTCCTCCACTGAAAATTGTTAACACCATAATTCCAAACGAAAATATATCAGCATATGGGTCACATCGACCACCAATCACATATTCTGGAGCCAGATAATCTAACAGTGGTTGGACAACGGACATCGTTCGCTGATTCCATTCCAGCATTTCATATATCACCTAAAGATTTGGCAGAACTTTATAACATTTAATACTCGTAGATATTTTTTTTGTATATAGTGTAGGATAAACGTTCCAACAAAACTAAAGAATAATGATAGTGTTAACAGCCGAATGCAGAATGTCACACAGTATTACAATCATGAAAAATTTTAGCACTGTTCTGGAACTTTTTACATTGTATTTGAAAAGATTGGAAGCAAATTTCATACCTGATTATTGGTACCTTGCGTACTTTGCACTGCAAAATCGAAACCTGCTAGTTTCCATTCACCTTTCTCATTAATTATCACACTTTCGGGAGATATATTTCGATGCATCATTCGTACATCAATATGCAAAAATGATAAAGCTTCAACAACCTGCAAAACTTCAACAAGAATTAAACAAGAATTATCGTTATAATAAAGTGAATAAAATTAAATTTACTCTAAACAGAATAAATTTATTCTATGCAGATTTATTAAAAAAAATATCATTTTACTTGAAAAAGTCCATATCGAATTTCAATATCCAAAAGTTCGAATTCATCTAAATGTGCCGGATGAGGAGTTATATTATCTAAATGTCCTAGAGCGTTGGCCAACGATGCGAACACAGGTTCTGTACAGAAAGCATACGAGTCTCTGAAGAAACACTCCTTAAAATAATCACAGAAATAAGAAGGAAATGGCATTACAAAAAGTCAGCACATCACACCCTAAGAAACTACAATTTCAATAGTTTACTTGATTAATCCTTTAAAAAAAACAAGTGACGGAGTAAAAAAAGACCGAGATTCCTCGAGTGGATGCTCAATAACGAGAATGCGTGGATGCCTTAACCGGGTGAGTTGTGATACTCCTCTTCTCAAGATTTCCGAGAATAATTCTCTTTCGTATCTTGGCCACTTTTCCAAATTTCGTTTCTCAAATAACCAAACAGAAACAGCCTAAATTAAGACGCAGTCCACTTCCTTAGTTTTGACAAAACTAATGAAATAAAAAATAAAAAACTATACACATGTGATATTATAATTGTAAAATATATGAGCACACAAGCAATACGATAAACAAGAGATCTGTTGGTATATTTAAATTAAATAATTGTTCCTAAGGCATCAACTATTCGGGTATAGCTACCTTTTTAGTTGAACGTTTCTGCGCAGCATAAACTTTCCAACTAAACGCCGGTCCAGCACTTCCAACTTGTGACAATACTTCATAATCTCGCGTTACTGGATTTCCCGGTAAAGCGTTGCTTACTTGCGCTGCTACTGAAGTTACAGTGGAACGTATCCGATTCAAATAATAGTCAACATTTATCGCCATCTACCACCTCCTCCACCTCCTGAAAAACGAAAAAAAAGAAATATTCATTTTATTTCTCCTTGTAGTTTACAGTTACATCAAAATTCAATTATGTTGCTAATAGCACGAATTTCCGATCTTATCATTTACGACAATTATATTGCATTTGCGCTAATTACTAGCCAAATCAAAAATCAATATCGTTAAAAGGAAATAATGAGGGTTAATTTCAAAAAGTTCGAAAAAGCTGAGAAAATATTGAGAGATTTTGATCACTGGTTAGGTCAAGCAATCGGATAACTGATCAAAGCAGTAATGATAAGGTCAACTCATCATTCTGGTAGCCCGAAGAGTGCAGCAGATCGATTCAGAAAGATGATTTAGCTATTCACTTTGAAACCAATTCGAAATTATCGATAAAGCTCAAATATGCATATAAATACATTGCAGCACACATCAACCCACCATTAGCTATTTCTTTTTACTTCCTGTTTAACTCATCTCTCAAACCAGCTTTCCGAAAATAAAGGATAATACTGTCGTTCGTTTTCTCAATCTTTCCTTCTCCTCAAACAATACTTTTTCTCCTGTTACTCAATGCTACGCTGCTTACTTGAATTCAATTAAAAACTAGTTTTCTCTCTCTCTCTCTCTCTCTCTCTCTCTCTCTCT